TATCAACCGAGACGTCGCCGTGACCTGTTCTACGGCTTCGAGCAACGCGTACTTGCCACCCGCCTCTCTCGACGACTCTCCACGACGAAGGTCGCGATCGATCAGTACTTTTCGAAAAAGATGCGCGAGGGGCGAGTGTGGGAGACGGTGGAATACAAACCACCACCACCACGACCACCGGTTACACGTCGTTTCACACGGTGCACCAGCAGTAGCAGCAGCGGCAATAGCAGCAGCAGCGACAGCGATAGCAGCAGCAGCAGCAGCAGTAGCAGCAGCAGCAGCAGTATCAGCCACCGGCAGCGGTAGCAGCCAGCAGCAGCAGCAGTAGCAGTGGCAGCACCATCAGAAAGAGGGGTACACGTCGCTGGGAGACACAGGCAGAGTCCCGGCTATACCCTCCCCTGGCCCCCTTCCTGCCTCACCCTTCCCGGCGTCTTCTCTCTCTCTCTCTTTCTCTCTCTCTCTCTCTCTCTCTCTCTCTCTCTCTCTCTCTCTCTCTCTCTCTCTCTCTCTCTCTCTCTCTCTCTCTCTCTCCTTCTATCTTCCCTACGAGTGACGTCACGGGAACGGAGTCGGGGATCGATCCCGAACGCCCACCTAGGCCGTATCCTCTCTCTCTCTCTCTCTCTCTCTCTCTCTCTCTCTCTCTCTCTCTCTCTCTCTCTCTGCCGAGTCGTACTGACCGGATAGAAAACATTCGACCACTCCACGGCGACCTCCGGCGACCTCCGGACATACATACGTACGTACGTACGGTACGCAGGTACGCAGCCGGCAAACGGCACGCACCACCCCCATCGCGGAAGGGTGGAACGCGCACCGGCGGTGCAGCAGCAGCAGCAGCAGCCCCGGGGCGGGCAGCAGCGCGGCGAGGCCGCGCGGGAAAATAGAACGGGGATGATCGCGGAGGGCGCGAGAAAGAAACGCTCAATCGCGGACGGACGGTCGCGCACTCGACAAGTCGGCTTGGAGCTTGCGAGCAAACAGCGCGAGCTTTTCAATTTCCTAGTGACTTTCCCCTCTCGTCTCTCTTGCGCTCGGCTTGCCTCGACACACAACTTTCCCTCAAGCAGAGGGCTCGAGACACTGCGCGCGCTAATTAAATCGATACGTTCCATTGGACGCGCCAATTATTCGCCGATTTGCCGCAGCGACTCTCGCGCGAAAGCGCGGAGCTTCGGAGAATCGCGAGTTTCTGAGTCTCCCGACTCCTAGATTTTTCTTTGCCTTTCGTGCGAAAGGTCTCGTCGTCTTCCCGGCCGTGCCGAAAGTTGCAAAGGGCAGCCTGTGTGTATGGAAATCCAACTGTCAACTGTTTCGCCGAGTAACAGCTGCGTCATGGATTCTCGTGTCGGATCGTCCAAAAGTCGATCAATAGTCGGTCGAAGGAAGAAAACAGACAAATCAATCGACTTAGCGGCAGCGGCTGTTTCTCTCGACAAACGAAAACATGTTAATAATTCATTTTAGGCTACGATCCCGTGTCCGCGGTCATCCTGCGATCGCATCAATTCCGAGGACCAACGTGCGCGTAATAAAGGATTATCATCCTCGCGAGATGAAATGTTACTCGCGCGAGCGCGAGAGAGTACAACACGGTGTGGCTAATAAGAATAAAATTAATCTGCCAGATAACCGGATCCTTGTCTCACCCCCTTAGCCCTGGCTATACGGTTATATGAGAACGGAATGCGTTGGCACGACTCTCAGTTCCAAACATCGAACATTCGAATCTGCATCCGTGGGTCGGTTAATCTGCATAGATATTGCGGCGCGCGCACGGCGCGCGTGTGGAAATTCGGCAAACTATTCTACTTCTCCCATCAGGAATTCTTTTGTCTCCGGAAATCGCTCGTGCGTCAATTCGGCGCTCAAGTGGCATTAAAGGAAGGGTAATAATGCTCTCTCGTCCGTCGTCTTTGATCCCCGATTTTTCGCCGTGCCGTCTACGGCGAGACCCAGCGAGACCGAGATCTGTGTGCGGGCTGCGAATGAAGGGAAAGGGAAAATCTTGTGCGCTTGTTCGATCAGAAGGAGAGACGACGGAAGAACTCAATCAGCAGCCCCGATTTCTCCGTCAGCCCGCACTGAGAAAGAATCACGCGGCGAAAAGAACGTCGAACCCGCTCGCTTGTAAAAGTCTGGTTAGGATTTATCAATTTTATAAATACCGAAATCACTTGCTGTGCGATATAATCAATCACGGGGTCGTTCGACCGGCCGTGATTGATTTTTTTCCAACGAAATTAACGAACCGCGAGATAATGGAGTCAAATATTTGGTAGCTACACAGGTGTGTACAAAGAGTGCGAGGGAACGAATTACCGCGATAAAATAAAAGAGCGTTCTCCGCGTAGCGATGTTTGACGAAAATCCGCTCTTGATACAGTCATAGTCGCACGAATCACGCACAAATTTATGCCGACCATTCAAACACAGAACACTTTTGCCCGAATTGCAACGGTATGCAATTCGGGCGAAAGTATGTAGTATCGCTGTACTAATTTTACACGTTCTTCCAAATAGAGCTTCGAGGGAGATCCTAAAAGCGATGTGATTTAGCTTGTCCCGTAAATTTCGCCGAGAATCAAAGGGGATATCTTTGTCGGACAGCAAAATTTTCTGCAAGATGTGTCTAGAGTCGTGCACGCGCGCGCGAGCGCACTTTCCGTAAGTACACTCTCGAAATTGTAAAATTTTGATGCAGCGCAGTAGAGCAGAATCATGGATTTTACATGAGCGACTACGATGGTGCTTGAGGTTGAAGTCGAAACAAACAGACGGCCAAATCTCGTATTCCGCAGCATTATATGTTTTCTTATTTTCAAGTACGTCTCCCTCTTTCTCTCTCTCTCTCTCTCTCTCTCTCTCTCTCTCTCTCTCTCTCTCCCTCTCTCTCCCCCTAAAAATATTTTCGCGGGACAACAATGTATCCGTTTCTCAAAAACGTTTTTCGGAACCTTTCGTCGAAACACGTCAAATTATAATTAATTGCGTTACCGACGTAATCGCACGTGATCGACGTGAAAACCCGCAACTTATCGTAAGCTAATGCTGATCGTAACATTAGATCGTGCCTCGCGCGATGCGACATTATTATCGAGAACGCACGCTTGCGCGAAGCTTTCTTCCGTGTAGGCGATTCGATGCGTCTGCGACGACCGGAAGAGCGTGGGTGTAAGAGTGCATTGGTCGCTGAAGCGACATCTTACGCATCGGCCGAGCATCTTGCCGGGAGATGCAATGTCAACGACCCTATTTACTCTAGTCTAAAAGAGCGACTAATTGCAACTGTACTGTTCGCCTTACGGAAAGATCTGCCGCCACCCAAGAGACGTATTATTCTACTAGGCTAATAGCGCGCGCACAGGATAATATCGCTCTCGCACGAGGAGCGTCTAGAGATACGCCGGACACGCCGGACAACAACGAGCGAAAGGAGAAAAGTAAGAGGAAAAAAAAAAAACGCGAGTTTTTTATTCCGCGCGCGCGCGCTCTCATCTTTCAGCAGCGGGCAAACATTTATCACCCCTTTGTTGTATTTGAATATAAATACGCCCGACTTTTTCTTCAAACACCACCGCATTTGTGTACTCTGACTTGGCGTCTTCTCTTTCTTTTTTCATATTTATCTTTTCGCACCTTACGTCTCATTCTTCTACCCAAGGCTAAATTAATTGTCTCCCAGTAGAGAGAGAGAGAGAGAGAGAGAGCATTAATTCAACAAATCTCCGATCAAATGAAGTTTCCCGCACACAAAGCACACCATAGAATTATATCGAATCGCCTGCTTGGTCGAGCCTGCGTGCTGGCTCGATCGAACGAGAGCCGAAGGCAAAAATAACACAGCCGACGATGGGGGAGGGGGGGGGGAGGGATCGAGAAGTCGCGATCACGAGAGGAGTCCGTTACGGTTACTAGAGGGTAAGCGTAACGCGGCTGATCTGAAAATTCAGTCAGCCGATGATGTTATCTTTGGTTTACCTCGCGCGTTGCTTGTGCACAGCATCTCAAACGAGAGGTCGGCTAAATAGGCGAATAAACAGGCGGGCGAAGTGCTGCGGCACGAGCGCGTAATCGCGAGATCAAAGTCCGCGCGTTTGCGCTTTGCGGATGTTTATACGCGAAGGTGTGATCCTGCAGCGTGTTGCTGCAGCGTGCGCGGCCTGCGGAGAGCGGAAATCCACGTAAGAAGAGATCCCCTCCTCCCCCCCGTCGTCTTAGCGCGTCTCTCCACGTATGCAGGCTCAAAGGGGCTGAAGTTACGACAACGACACACATTCGTCCGTTTCTCTCTTTCTCTCTTTCCCTCCCTCCCTCCCTCCCTCTTTCTCGCCCGAGAGAGGCGAACGTGCTCCGACGCGAGACGCAAACCTCCTCCTCCTCCTCCTCCGCGCGTTAAGAGGCTCATTCGAATGCACGGTCATACGCCGCCATGCCACGCGCGGTTTGCGCATCTCGTCTCTAGACCAGAGCTACGGGCTGCAAAGGACACCTCCGACCGGGATTATTCGCCGAAAAAGTCGCCGTACTACCCTCGCGCGATTTCTCACCGATTTAGATGATAAAACGATGCGTGCGAAATGATTAATGTACAATAAATGACAGTTCCTCCCTGGTTAGTCTTAGGGACGATATGAATCGTTACGATCGACCGACACTTGGCACCTTCTCTCACGCGACTTATAATGAGAGAGAGAGAGAGAGAGAGAGAGAGGGCGGGGGAGGGGGGGGCTGGAGAGTGAGAGATTATTACTTGGAAAGAGTTCTTCGAGTCAAAGCCACTGTTTACTCGGCGGGGACTCTCTCGTTACGAGCTTTTCCCGATTGTCCTCGCGAGGGACAATCCATTCATATTTGTATAAAAAGCGCGATTTGTCAAAAGCGCGAGTCGAACTCTTTTCTCTCGCGCTTCTCGGGAATGGATATTATTATACGACATCCGTTTGAATATCTTTCGCGAATAAAAGTGTGAATAAAAGTTCTCTCTCACTCACCCTGCCGCCGTCGTCCTCGTTGCTCCTCGTTGCTCCACCGGACGTCGTTGCACGCGTAATTCCTGGTCCCGCTGTTCCCACGGCGGGAGGCGACGAACGGGTCCTTCGGCAACGGGGGCAGAGGCCTGTTGGCGTCGTAGTCCTGCTCGGCCGGGCCTTCGACGTCGGCCGCGCGACACCTCGCGGCTGCAGCCGCGCCGCTCGCGGCGTACAGAGGCTGATCGTCCTGATTCGCGTCGCGTCGCAGATCTTGATGCAGAAACACCGAGTCGGTGTCCGAGATGGTGGTGCTGCTGTCCTCGCTCCTGTGTCGCCTGGTGGGCGGCTCCGGTGCCGTGCCATGCTTCGTTGGCCAGCTGCCCGCCGCAGCCAGATCCGGCCCGATGTTCGGTTGATTGGAGAAACTGACCCTCTTGGGTCCCGCGCTGCCGTACTCCGCCGACTCGCCTCCTATAAGACTGCCTCTCTTGAATATCGGATGCGGCCGAGACCTGCCCTCGCCGTCGTTGCTGTCCTCCTCCCTGAGCTGAGCTCCTTCCGGCCTCCTCAGGATTATTATCGCGGCACCATCTGTGTGCGCCGGCTTGGCGCGCGTCGCCAGGTTCAGACTGGACCGCTCGATCTCGCCTCTGTGGAAATGCGGCGATGCGCTCTTCGATCTCTGCGCGATCTCGCCGCGTCCCATCGTCGCGGGATCGCGACACTGCACGATCGACTTGATCGACATCTCCTGGCGATCTCGCAGCGCCTGCTGCGGCCGGACTATCAGTACCGGTTGATTCTGGCCCTTCGGGGCCTGCATCAGCGGCAGCTTCCCGGCCGAGCTCAGCTTCGGCCGCTGCTGCTGCCGCATGTTGCCCCAAGCAGGGCTCGCGTCTCCGTGAACGACCGGCCGGCTGGGCGCCGGCATTACGACGGCATTCGAATGGAACGTCGGACTGGCGCCGGGAGGAGGTAAGGTGGGACTTCTCGCGCGCGATCTGCAGTACGCAGTCTCGTACGAGCCGTCGTCCGGCAGATTCTGCTCGTAGATGCGCCGCTGCTGCTCCTCGTCCAGCTTCTTCAGCTGCTGCCAGAGCGCCTCCCTCACTTCCGGCAGATTGATCTTCGGCGCGACCTGCCTCGCGCCGGGGCTCGCCTGCGAGATGCCTGCCGACTTCCGTTGCGCTTCCAGCGCCTTTTGCTGCCAGTAAAACGCCTCCAAGTGCTGCCTGGTCTCGCGTCTCGAAGGTGACAGGTAGCTGCTGCTCTGTTGGGTGTACGTCGTCGAGTGCACATCGGGGGGGCTGCGTTGAACGTACATCGGCTGCTCCTGACCGTGTCGCGGTTGCTGCCTTTGGCGTTGCTCGTAAATCGGCGGACTCGCGCCGACGTACACCTTGTCCTGACTCGTCATCGGCGACGACCGTTGGCCGTCCGACGACGACGAGGCCGATGTCGCGGACGAGGCTCGTTGCTGAGGAACGTTGCCGTGTTGCCGTTGCTGATAAAGCTCGCGCGGCGGCGATCGCGGAAGCGTCGCTCTCTTGGCAGGCTCGTTGTTCGTCGCCGTCGGCTTGGCATCCGGATTACGTGGCTGCGCGTTCCGCGCTGCCAAAGTCTCACCTTCGACCCAGTCTGCCAGTCTGTCGTCATCAAGGTCGCGACACGACTCGGCCGGTCGGTACGACGAGTCGCGTGGCGACTGATCGTTGTTCTCGCGTGCGCCTTCCTTCGTCTCCGCGGAGCTCACCATCGCCGCGTTGACGACGAGCCCGCGTAGAGGACTCTGCTGCTGCTGCTGCTGCTGCTTACGGTGTCCGTAGATCGGCTCGGGCCGCGAGATACCTTTCGCAAATACGGAGGACGATACAGCCCTCTGCGCCGCGGATTTGCCCCCCGTCACCGTCACCGTCACCGAGACGGACGAGGAACCGTCCTGGCTACCGTAGTGGTCGCGCGCTGCTGCGACTGGAACGACGTCGGAGATACACTCGCGCGAGTCCGCTATGGGCACCGGCGACTCCACGTCGCGGAGCCTGGTCCCGTTCGGCGGTCGAGGCACCCTCGACTGATAAATGACCTCCCTCTTTGGCGAGGCTATCAGGATTTGATCGTTGGGTTGCGATTTCCTGGTTAACGCCCTCGGTACCGCCGACGGAGACGTCGCCGCCGCCGCCGCCGTCGCCGCCATTGCCACCCCCCCAGGTCTCGACGAGGGTGATACGTTCTGGACGCGTGTTCTCTCGGCTACTTGGCCGGCTACTACTGATGACGATGACTCGCTCCTCGAGTTTACGTCAATATCGTCGGGACTTTTCGAGCGCAGTTTTTCCCTCTCTCGCTTCGACTTCGCTCGTGCTTCACTTTCCTTACCCTCCAGAGAGCCGCTCTGCTGGCAAGAGCTCTCGCAGGGCGATCGTTGACTCGGCGAACACTTGCGCTCGTCTCTCCTCTCCGGCAGCGAGCTGCTGCTCCTCGCGCAGACCGCTACTCTCGCGTCCGTGGGGCGCTCCTCGCGGCACGGCGGCGACGACGGAGTTTCGTCGTACACGTGTTCGTCAACGTAGCGGTTGGTCGGCTGAGGAGCAGCCGCCGCCACGGGCTGAGCCTCCTCGTTCTCGTAGATCCTCTCTCGCGGCGCATCGTCGAAAGGCGCTCGCTCGGAAGGCGAGGTTCGGGCGCTGCTGCGCGGCGACGAGTGCAAGTAATACTCGCCGCTCTTGGAGCTGGACGGCGAGAACTCGCTCTTCTGGCTCGAGTTTGGAGTGCAGCTCGAGTCCGCGTAATCGCCAGACTTCTGGCTGGAGCCGGGTGACGGGTACTTGGGGCTTCGCCCGACCAGAGGCGCTCTCTGGGTCTGATTGACGATAGGCTGGCGAGTGATCTTCATTTGCGCGGGGACCGACTGCGGCAGGTGCATCAGACCGGCGGCTTCGACGTCGCTCCTGTCGTTCCTGTCGTTCCTGTCGTTCTGATAGAGCCCAGCTTGGTTCTGGTAGTTATCGGCGCCCGACACGTACGACGACGCGCCCGCGTCCTTTCGGTAAGAAGCGAGAGCGTCGCAGAGCGGCTGCTCAACGCCGTCCTGATAGTTCTCGTAGTTGGACAACTCGACACGGGACTGCGGGATCTCAGGCAGCGGTCTGTCGACCGGGTGAATGGCCCGAGGTCGCACCAAGTATCGTTCGCTGGGCGGCGCCGAGATCCGGCCGGAAGCGCCGTGATTCCTCTGCAGGTAGTAATTGCGACTGCTGTGATTCGACGACTCCTGCAGGCTGTGCTTGCGCTCCAGCTGGCCGTATCGTCGGCTCTCTTGCTCCTCGCGTCTCTGCCTTTGCTCGTACTTCCTGACGTCGGGCGAGATGCCGAGATGTCCGCCGCTCCGGTCCAGCCATCTGTCGTCCGGCGCGATCGAGCTGAGGCTCGAGTCGGTGGTGTAGGATCTCTGCGCCCTGGCTCTGTCGCGAAGAAGCCGCGAGTCGTCGGTCTGCAGGAAGTGATCGGGCGTGCTGGTGATCGGACCTTGCTCGGGGAACAGCTCGCGCTTGATCTCGTCCAGCCTCTCCTCGATGATCGAGCCGTTCAGGCTGTTGTCCAGCTTGACGTTTCTCTTGATGTCCTCGTTCAGGTTCATCGTGTCCGGTGACCTCGTGTAATTTCCATTCTGCTGGTAACGAGCGAAATGCCGCTCGTCGTATCTCTTTCGTTCCTTCTGCTCCTTCTTCTTGTAGTCCTTCCGAGAATCCTTCGGCGAGAAAATGGCTGGCAACAGCCGCCGAAATCCGAGTTTCTTCTTCTGCTTCTCCTCTTTCTTCACCTTGCTCGACGAGCTCGCCTCCATGGTGAATTCTTTTATGAGATTAGCGTAACCGTCCTTGCCGCGATGGCTCCGAGGCTCCACGGAAGCCGGATCGGTAGATTCCTTCGAGTTAATCACCGTGAAGGAGCCGCCGGCGCTCTTCTCGTCGTTTCTTTCAGGCGAAGACTTCTTGTCGTCGTCGTCGTCGTCGTCGGTAACCTGCGATATTCGTCCCTCGTCGTGCTCCGCCTCTTCGAGATCCCCCCTGCAGTCACTCCTCGCTTCATTCAAATTTCGATCACCGTAACTACCAGCGCTGTCGCTTCCTCGCGTCAGAGTTTCCTTCTCGTGAATTATCGCGGATGTTGCGAGGAGCGTCGAGTCGGTTTTCTCCGCTTCCTCGTGCCATCGAATGCACTCGTCGTCGTCGTCGTCGTCGTCGTCGTCGTCGTCGTTGTCGTCCGTGTCTATTCCATTCGTCGTCCGGGCGATGTCCTCGTCGACGGCCTTGATTCTATCCTCCAGGCACGAGTCGGAGTCGACGGTGCTCACGGTAGTGTCTTCCGCAATCTCGTCCGAAGTACGCCTCTTCGACTCGTCGGTCGACGTTTGTCTCTCCGAAGCGAACTTCACCGAGCGCTTCCGGTCGAGAAGCAGCCGAACGTCGCGACGATCCTCGACGATGCTCTCGCGCGAGGACACGCTGCCAAATTCCTCGACGTAAGAGGATCTCGAGGATTCCGACGAGTTGCGTTGCAGCAGCTGATTCTCCAGGAATTCCCCGGACCACCTTCTCTCCACTTCCGTCACTTTCTCGCTGTATATCCGCTTAGCGCTCGCCTCGGCGGTCTGTTGATCTTCGATTTCACTGTTCCCGTTGTCGTTGTCCGAGGTGTAATCCAGATCAGTTTCCAGCAGCCGCCTTTCCTCGATCTTCAATCGTTTGTCCAGATTGTGCTTCTCGAGGAAATCCTTATCGAATCCGCAGCTTAACCTCCCGCTCGCCGAGTTCGCGGCGTCTACGGCAATCGGCAGCCTCAGAGCGTAATTGGCCTGAAGGTCCAACAGCTTCTCTTTGTAGCTCTGCGCGGTGCTGGCGTGAATCCTGGTGCTCAGATTCTTTTGGAGGTCCTCGATAGTCGTCTGACTCCTTTCCAAACGGACCTGCGCGTCTTTGTCAAGCCTCGCGCATTCCTCGCGACTTTCGACAAAGTCGCTTTCTTCCGCGTCTCCTCGCCGCGGCGCCGCTCTGATTTCGTCCGTTCCGTTGCAACGTTCGTTTGCACTTTGCGGACCAGCAGCCTCCTTCGCTTTCCCAACTTCCACCACGGGGCTTACATCGTCGTCGCTCCTCTCCGCGTCGTTTCCGCGATTTTCTGCTTGGGAAATATCTCGCTCGATCGCCCGCCCCTGTTTAACTTGAGCCGCTATCTCGTCGGCGAGTTCTTCCCGATTCGCCGATAAATCTTGCCGCGGTTCTACCTTCGTACGAGAGACCGATTCCGCTATCAAAGATGAATTACGCTCTCTCTTGTCCGCGGGTTTCTCCGGGACCCTCGGCGGCACTTTGCGCTTCCTGGCGACGTTGGCGGCCGCGTCGCTCCAGTTCAAAGCTTCTATTATGCCGATGCTGCCGATAGACGGGCTTTTCGTCAGCCGAATCGGCTTGATCCTGCTCTCCTCGTTGGGAGAGCCGGGAGCATCGTCGCTCCTCCGACACCTGGCAACCGGCAGCTTCGATTGCCCGCCGGGGCAATCGTTGCTCCTGAGACCGCCTGTATCTGCCTTCGACGTGAACGTGTCTTCCGGTACCGAGACACGAAATCTACCGTTCGCCGACGACGACGACGTCCTCTGACCCCCGTTCGCTCTCGTCCGCTTCACCACGCTCGGTTTTGTCTCCGAACTCAGGGACAGTTTCCTCGAGGTCTCGTTCTTCGTCAGCAATACTTGGCGCGAGCCGCCCGACGACTCCAGAACGATCTTCTCCACGGTAACTTTGTCGACCGAGACTACCCGCACGTTTCTTCCCGCATCCGATCCCTCGCCGTCGCTGCTCCCAAGCGGCTTCTGATTGCACCGCGTATCCGTTCCGGGGACGTCGCTACCGAGCACTCCCTCCCTTGATTCCATGCTGGCTTGTCGCGCACCGCTCACCACCACCCTTTAAAGGCGCCTGGAACAATTACCCCATGTGTGATGTCGCTCGAGGTCGCTCGACGAATAATCTTCCGACGAGCATGCGGGAGAACAGAGCTGGGTGTTTCAAGCTGGGTGTTTCACAAGCGAATGCCACAAAGCGATGAAGAGGAGAGAGCGTAAAAATCGTCGGGCGCAAAGACAAGCCGAAGGACAATTTAGCTTGGCTAAATAGCGTCGGTCGCGGTTCGACCGACCGCGAGAGATCCAGCTCCAGTTGAAGGGAAAAAGGGAAAAAGGGAAGAAAAAAAGAAGAACACACGCGCTGCATGACGTCGCGTTATCGTCTGCGATTATTCGGTGGCCTCCGGGAGCGGCCGAGCTCGTGGAGACGCACACGTCGCGAGAGGTGACACGTGATGAACTCGAGATAACTGGATATAAGTGGCTGAGTAGTCGCCTGAAATTTTCCCATTAGTCCATCGGGCTAGGGCAGCCCCGGCGCGCCGCGCCGCGCCGCGCCGCCGGTGCTTAACCCGGTCAAGTACGTGGTGCACGTACGGTACGTACGTACGTCGAGAGACCAACGGCCATGTGCGCAGCAATCGCGTGTGTACGCTCGCGAGCACGTGCGAGCGCGCGCGCGCGCGCGCCAACAGACGCCCTGCCGACCGGGAGTAGTCTAAACACGTGTACAACATTCTAAACATCGAAGCAGAAAATCTCTTCCTCGCTTCGTAGCCTCCGCTCTCTCTCTCTCTCTCTCTCTCTCTCTCTCTCTCTCTCTCTCTCTCCCTCTTCCTCACCCTCTCTCTCTCTCTCTTGCGCGCGCGCGGTCAACGTCTCGGCCGGCAGAAGGAGCCGAGCGCGAGCGCGACGGCGTAAAGTCGCAAAGTGCAACGACCGTAACGAATTCGTTCGGGAACTTACAAAGCAGCTAAAACGAGACGTGGCGCGCGCGGCCACGGCATCGTGTCGCTTTTTCTCGCGCGGTGCCGTTATGCCCTCTTCCGCCTGTATTTCCTCTCGCAGTGACTCGACGCGAGTGTTACGGATACGCGTCGTTGGCGGAGGAGAGGAAAGACGGCACACCGAGGTACCGTCGTATCATCGTAGGAGGACGAACGAGTCGCGAAATACCTAACGAAGCGAGTTTGCCTTTTTGTTCCGCACACAGACCGTTTGTATTATCAACAGTATCGGTTGCTTCGTTTTCAAACCGCGTTTGCCTCTCCGCCCCGGGAGGAAGCCTCGCGCTCGAGGAGAGTGCATCGCGCGTGTGCGTAACCGTGTGTCAATCGAGCGCCCGGTGATAATTAGACGAAGATAAATGGTGCTCGATAAAATCCGATCGCCACGCCTTTGTCTTCATCAATGATCGTATCGCATGGTCGATTGCGGCGCGTGCAACGAGAGAGAGAGAGAGAGAGAGAGAGAGTGCAACGCTCTCCTGCGGCGACTTGTCCGCGCGACGAAAGAAGCACCGTCACTAGCCCCAGTGACTTACTTGAGTTGCACGAGAAACGCTCCACCGGTTGACCAGTTTTAATGGCGAGTCTCGCCCGAGTGAGCAATTGCATAATGGAGGGCGGAAAAAATTCAGGTGCGATGGACCGCCTCCGCCCTGATAGTTTCGCTACTCCTCGCCGCGTTTCCACGCACTTTTCGCGCTCGCGGCGCCTTCAGCAGAGAGGACGAGGAGGAATGACGTAACGAGTGTGAGGTAATAGGTCCGCTTCGCGGTAAGGACCGAGAGTCAACGAGAGTTATCACACGGTGCACTTTCAGGCGCGTTCGAGATTCCGATGCGACAACGCGCGCGCTATCCACGGCCGAGGCTGCGTTGAAGATTTAACATTGTTAACCGCGCGCCGGCACGCTGCACCGACGTTTCCGGGAAAATGTTTACAAACGACTGGCCAAGACCCGCATTATTATTCGTGCGGCCGCGAGTTACGAGCGACGAGCGACGAGCGCGACCGGCGACGCGGCGCGAAGAGCGAAGGGGACGCAAGAGTCGAAGAAACGCAATATTCGCGCAAGTGAAACCGGTACACCGGTGTTGACTTACGGTATAGTCATTTCGCGAAATATCCCCTATCGCTGCTGATTACGTAAACAATTCGCGTGCTGCGATACGCACGCGATATGCAATTACAAGAACGTACGACCGCGGCGGCGTCTTGCGACGGAAGGTCCCCCCGCCTCTCCGCCCGGCACCGCTGTGTCTGTGTGTGCGCATCTCACACGATGAAATAGCGAGATAAAAGCGATCAAACGTAGAACAAAAGCGTAATTAAATAGAATCAAATTGCACAACGAAATGATAAACTACGCTCGACAATTGCACTTTTCTCTCTTTACAAAATGCGACTGCGCTAGCTGTCAAAGCCGAGACAGCGATACTTTTGGGAAAGAGAGAGAGAGAGAGAGAGAGAATCGAGGAAACTCTTTAATGTATCCGCATGCAATCGCGCTCGTTGCCTGTCCGGAGATTAATTTATATCCACGGTCGTACGTCTTTGGTATAATGACTACGTGATGAACGCAAAAAGAAGAAGAAACCACCAGGCGGTGGATTAGCAGACAACACGACGCTGCGCAAACGCAGCGTACGTGAGAGAATAATAATGCGGAAACGCCATCATCCTTCCTCCCGTCTCACGATCATCGGCAGAGAATTTGAACGGCGATTTAGCGACAGCGATCTGACAGCCGACCTCGATGGCCGACAGAAATACGACGGAACCGAAGAACAAAGCTGGTAATTGACAGACGCGCTGCGTCCGTCACGGCACGATGCCACTCACGCTTGATTATCGCGGCTCTCGTTATCTCATTATCGTCATTAGATAGCATCGTGAGGGGGCGACTCGGGGGTGTTCCTTCAGAGTTTGCCGACCGTCGGTTCGCAACTTGCAGACGGTGCATCGAGCGCATCCGCGAGCGAGTTACTTCCGGCACTTGCAAGGTAATCTGCGGAACACGGAAGCACCGATTCTCCGACGAGAGACTTGGAGATCAATTCGGCAATTTCTCCCCCCCCTTTCATTCATACAAAACGAGAATTCGCGAAAAATGCACCTGAAGAGGAAACGTTGCGGTATCATTTCGTAAATTATCTCCAGAGTAAGAAAAAGAGAGAGAGAGAGAGAGAGAAAGACAGAGAGGGAGAGAAAGAAAAGAGAAAGGAGAGAAGAACGCGAATCGATCGAAGAAATACAGAAACCTCTGCACAGACGTCTCGAATCAAAACTATCGGGCCAAACGAGAATGAAAAAATGTGTGGGGAAAGGGGATGAAATAAATGTAAAAATGAAATAAATGGCAGAAAAGGCTGATTTCGCTGGGAGAACAATTGCTAATACCGGGCATTGTTCCTCTCTGCCAAGATTTTCCTGCCGGTTCCTATTCACGTGGCGCGCATTGTCCGCGCTTGTATTTACGGGAATCGCAGCTTGTACTCGTATTTACAGGAACAAACGTGCATAGCGCGGTTCTATCCGATGGCGAGCAACGAGAACGCGCGATTACATCGCGCGGATGTGTCGGCGATTTTATCTAAACGAAACGAGGCGCGCGCCTATATCGTCGTTCGTGCGTCCAGTCTAATCATCTATTAATTGTTCGCCCGATACCCACCGGAAGCGAGCGAGATATCGGTATCGACAGCGGCGCGCATACAATCTCTGTGGAAAAAAAGGCGCGCCGTTAAGAAGACGCATGAGCAAACCGGTTTGCTTCCTTCCGCATGAAATGGCGATTGCGGTGCTCTCTATACGCGGCGTTTAATCATTTCCCCGGCACTGCTAGAGCACTTCGCTGTAATTTTACATTTTATTAATCCTCTCTCTCTCTCTCTCTCTCTCTCTCCTCTCCTTCCCCCTCCCCGACGATCGCGTATCGCGTGTCTCGATTTGCACAAAGATAACGTGTAACGAGCCGCGCGCACGGCGAGTACGCGCGAGTGCAATGCGCTCTCGCTGTACCAACGCAACGCAAAGAGCGACTGCCATGTAGATAACCATCGAGGGCGCGTCGGTGCCTTTGAGCAGAGAGACAGCCTCGAAGTTTCCGCAGCGATAAGTTTGGCCTATGTGCGGTGTGATATTCTATGAATATGAATGATATCCTACGAATGCGCGGAGCATCTTGCGGCCGCGAGAGATATCGAGAAAATATATCGTATAATATATACCGCCGGCTCACCGGAGCATATTTCTGGATCAAGAGCATTTAGCGATTACGAAGATCAATGAAATAAAATCGATCTTCGCGGGAAGGATGTAACTCGCTCCGCAACACTGATCCCGCGGGAACGAGAGGCAGCAAATTAATTTCCGCGAAGCTTCGAGTTTGCACAAAGAGCAAGAGAAAAACAGACAGACGGTCGGATTGATCTGTGTGTATGCGCGCGTGCGTGTGGTGTGTGTGTGTGTGTGTGTGTGTGTGCCCTGAATTTGAAAGTCGATGCCTGCAGCAGATTCGTCGGCGCGAACGTTTGACGCGTTAACAAGCATCGCTCAATTCTTGCTAACGTGATAATGAACGATGCCCACGTGATCGTGTAGCGCGGCATCGCCCGTGATTGCGTCGATTACTTGCGCCGAGGCTAAATTCAATCGTCATTGGCGATACATCGTCGTTACATCGGTGCGATTTCGTCATCGATGAACGGCCGACAGACGCGCGCGCGCGCGCGCAATTTTTGCCGTAATGTCGTAATTAGAGAATCATGCTCGCGTGCCACAAATTGACGAGATTCCCGCTGTCCTCGAAAAGCAGCTGCGAAATCGACGATATCGTATCGACGATAACGGAGAGCGGCGGCGAGATAAGAACCGACGCGATCATCGCAGGCTGCAAAGCGCGAGCTAACACGCCCTTTGTCTGCCTGCGATTTGACATTTGTCGTACGCGACAGTTGGTCGGTCGTGCGTGCTGCGAGAAGCGCCGCCCGCCGTTGCTACGTTTACGCGATTTCGCCGAAAGTAACAATGTTTGCGAGCCGCGCTGCACTTTTCGGGATTTATTCCGAAATCAGTTCGCCGCGCCGCGCCGAGCGACGAAACAAACAACGCGAATAAAAGATGAAGCGAATTCCGCGCGCAAAGTTGGCGCGGCAGGAGGGAACGGCGAGACGCGACTTTCGCGAATGCAATTTTCGCCAAAGGGCCCGGCTGCACACATGCATCTCCACAAGCCCATTACCGAGTGCACGCGACTCTCAGGAAAGCCGGCAGAGGGGAGCGTCGCTTCTCCGGCACGCCGGTATATCCTACCGGCGAGATGTTCGAGAGCAGCTTATCACAAATGCGAGGAGGGCCTCTTATCGTTGTCACACCTTGAGCGCGAGCACACCGTCACCGTCACCGTCACTGTCGTCACTGTCACACCGTAACGAACGAGACGCGATCTCTCGCAGCATTTTTCTTCCTCGCGCAGCGAGGATTCTGAAGGATTCTGAACGATGCCGCCGGGAGACGCGCGAGCGCGGATAAGAACGTTTAAACGAAAGTCCGCAGCTCTGCTAGTCTGCCTGGTGAAAGTGATAACGCGACACGGTTAATGAAGAAAGAAAAACCGCGAATGTAGTTGGGAAAAAGTTGACGAAGATAAAGAGAGAAACAAAGACAAAAAAGCGAGAGCAAGAGAGAGAGAGAGAGAGAGAGAGAGAGAGAGAGAGAGAGAGAGCGCGCGAGAGAGAGAAAGTGAGAGTGACAGAGACAGGAGAAAGAAGAGAAAAGAGAAAAAGAAGACGGAGTGAGACGGACGAGGCGCCAGCAACGATGTCTCTGTACTGACTGACGAGTTGTTCGTACAATGTACGTAGAGTAGTACGAGAAAGAGGGTACACGGTGGGGGACTAAGAATGTGAGAAAGAGCAAGACAGGAGTAGGGAATAATGAGCGAAGAGAGAGAGAGAGAGAGAGAGAGGGAGAATGGACGAGAGAGAACTAACCAGAAACGCGCGAGAGACGGAACCTCTGTGAGTCCTCTCTCTCTCTCTCTCTCTCTCCCCCTCTCTCTCTTTCTCTCGCGGGACCGAAGACTCGATTGTGAGCAAGTTGCGTGTTAACGCTGATAACGAGTTACAGGTACGTATGTATTTACGTATGACACATCAGCGTATCGGCGGGGAACCGCAGTGACTCTCAATCGCCGCGATAGTCGCGAATCAACGCTGGCTGGAACCGGCAAAGTCTCAGGTCGCAAACTAGACGAAATATCGATTGCTATCGTCCACACCCGATCGTATCGTTCGAGTGGATAAAATACATAATACACTCATACGCGTTATATTTATAGATTCCCACTTGACATTTATGACGGCGCTCCAAGTCGTTGCTCACGTGCGAGAAGAAACTTAATATTTCTATTTTTCTAATGTAACGCGAGCACACGCAAACATCATATGATCGTACGACTCGTCAAACACTCATATCGTCTAATAGATACTAGAACTTTGATCGTCAACGGAGAGACATGTTTCTCTTTCGATCATTTGTTCCTTTATATTTGATTCGAGCAACAAAACTACTCGATACCCAACTACCCACTTGATGTAATTTCCTAACCGCGTTTCAACCCAGCCTAGCGAAATATCGGTTGCAACTTTCATTTTCCCAATATACAAACAGTGTGAGTGTAACGTGTCAGTTATAATTATATATTCATCGGGACAATGTTATCTTGACGATCGTATCACACGTAGCAGCAAGTTTTCGTCTCTACCGGGAAATTAATTTCTATAATAATGTCACGTGACTTTGGCACGTGCGGTTTAAACGCGGTATAATCGAGTATTCTTTCGGTACGTATTGTTTGCTCGCTGTTGTGGAATGTACACGAGTGTACATGAGAGAGATCGACGCGCCAGCGTCGCGATCTAGCAACACCTGGGCCATGCATGAAAAATCCCCATTAAGCCGAGCAAGTAAATGGAATTTTAATTAAAGCACCTTGCGTGCGAAGTGCGTAGGAATTATCGCGAAGGCAGAACTCGTATTATCACGATCCCAGTGAGAACAGTGAGATTTATTTCTGATTTATGAACCCGTATTCTCTACGATCGTGATTATTCTCTCACGGAGAATCGTACTCCCGCCGAAATGTAAGGAAAACCAATCCTTTTGTAATACATTAATTTTTACAGTATGTAACAACAATTAATCTCTCTCTGTTCTCACCGGGACAACAACATCACTGGGATGGTCATTCTCGTGGACTTGTACGAGATGGAATTTCGCATGAATCATCCCCACGCAACTCCTTATCAAAGTGACAAATGAACCGATCTCGATATACATGTATAAGATTAAATAGAATAGCGTATCGAGATAACTGAGAAGAACCGAGAGACGAGAGATTTGAGATATTTCCCGGCCGACGAGATCTCTTTGATCTCCCAACACCAGAAGAATTTCTTTTTTGCTCCGGCTCCGATCAGAGACGAGAGATCGATCGAGAGAGCGTTCTTTCGATCCCCCGCTGCTCAACCTTTTAGCCCTCCGACTTTCGTTTTTCCCATGACGAATCTCTTCGCAACGACTCAACGCGCTCTCAAATCCACTCCGGTTGCATTTATTTCGTTCCTTTTTTTTTTTCGAAACGTTGGCCGCGCGAACATAACTTATCGGATGGAAACGGATGAAATACAACGCATTCGCGAGTTGCAAGGTGAACAACTGCTTGCGCAAGAAACGTCGGGAATGCAGCTGGGTTTCGATATCGGACCTGCGGCATGTTAGTTTGACGACGAGGAAAAATTTAACAACGAACAACGGAATATCGAGGTCACGGAGACTTGAATTATGCATGTTTGCCTCACAAAACAACATTGCCATCGGTATATATTTGTCCACTGATCAATACCGCCGCAATACAACGCAATACCGTACGCGTTACCGTTTTGTCATATTGTCACGTGAATTTGAAGTAATTTGAGAGCGCGCTCTTAAAAATTACACTTCAGCTGTCCAATTCTAAATTTACTTGTACTTTTACTTATAATAAATAATAAATTATAATAAATTTCTAAAATGTAAATGTTTCCGACGATTATGCACTTTTACAGTCACTTGAATAAGAGAGACGTTCTTCCCAATCTCAATGTATTATCCAGGAACACCCTGTATATGCGATCGTGTCGGTGACACAGTTCTTCAGGCGCGGGAAACATCGAGTACTCCTACTGTCGATAAATGACGAGGATACGAGAAGAGAGAGAGAGAGAGAGAGAGAGAGAGGATACGAAAATAGTCGGTAAAGTAGTATATCGTAGCGAAGAATAACCACGATGAGATAATGGACTTTCTGTTTTTTACTGTAATTGCATGGAAAACCATTTTAACCGATTCGCGAAAAATCCTATTATTTGCATTCAATCAATAAGATAATAGAAACAATTACATGTATACAAAGAATGACCGCGCAAGATCCACGAGCTGAACAGACATCGCTGAAATAGATCGCATCGACAGATGAATTGTATTTGGCTATTGTACGGTTGCAAATTGAAGCATTCTGATTTCGAGAAACTATAAACATTCTGCGATAAACAATGTCTATTGTAATAGGTAGATAGTGTACGAAAATACGGAGCGGAACGATGACGGACGAAACGTTCGAGAGAAAGAGAATCGCGATTGGCATGCGCGCGTTCGTTCGCAAAACAATACGTGCTTAATCAATATAATACGCGATCGCGTTATCGCCGGTCGTTTCGCGATCTAATGACTAATTCAACGAAAGAACGGTGTCAATGAGAGAGTAACGATAAACAACGCCTCAGCTTTTGCTCCTGAGTCATTTTGCAATGTACGTATTACATTGCGACGTCACGCGTTTCTCAGCGAGGATAGGAAATGAATTGCGTCAAGTTAACGGTAATTAATTATAACGGTATTAATTATAACGGTAAGATATTATAGATAATGAATAAAATGTCAATAGTAAACAGACGAGCCTTTTCGCCTCGAGTGATTTGTTTCTACGTTATTGTCCGATGCGTATGCACAATCACTGACTGAGCGCTTGAATCCATGATAACATTGCATGAAATGTGCATCGACAGCTGAACGACGCCATCGGGCGTCCGTTATCTGTAACTCGTAATGCTAATCACCGGATTAATGAATCAGCCTTTGTCCTTTGTCCGCGATATACTTATTTCTCGACTTCTCCTCCTCTTCTCCTTTTTGCACGGAGGAGGAGATCCGCCGCTCGAGGCAACAATTTGGAGCGGGATACTCGTCTAGACGAGTATCTCCGCGGGATCCTCATTAATATTTATGAATTTAAAAGGCGCAATTACGCCAGAAAAGAAGCACCGTTGCATAATGCGCGTATGCGCGCGACGGAGCGCACGCGATCTCTTATCTGTGCGCTACTCTTTTTCTCGCTCGCGATGCCGAATGCGCAACCTACGTACTTATGCAAATCTCTGGCAAAACTACAGATCCAAAGGACCAATTTACGCGATCTTATCAGTCGTGCTTTACGAATACGAAAAGCGCGACGAAAGCGACGGCAATTTCGTACACACACACACACACACACATTTCGCTCTCGTGCTCTCTGAGAATTATATCCCGATATATGTTTTTCGCGAAAAACCCAACATTGCAAACATTGACGTTGTCAACAAACCCAGTGTAACGCAAAGATCATTGTGCGTAAGAGTCGTTCGACCTTACTCTCTTCAGTTTCTTCGATCCACCGCTTTAGACCGACAAGAAAGCAATTATTATACAAGATGTATATATATATATATACATGATAAAAATATAATTATTGCGTAATTATTATGCAAGAGAGAATGCTAATTGAATATAATATTACATTAATCATACGTCAGATTGTGTAGAATTTCAGCACTATTCAACACTATTGCTTCGATTCTATACTCTGTGCTTTCGTAATCTCTTCCGCAGAGATTCTCTTTCACGTAGTTGGCGTCACATGTACAGCGAATCAAGGCGACAATTAGAAATGATGAATCGTGAAAAAATATTCTCGCACCGCCCGACACTGAATGCATTCTTCGAGCCATTACTTGAAAATATATATGGAGGAGAAATATACGAGGTTATTGTAAAATCATAACGGCAAATTTTCAACAAAGGCTGATTGCTCAGCACATCAAATACGAGGCATAATTGCTACTAACTCAATCAAATTTGACAATTTTAATGAATGTAATAACAATGAATGTAATAACAATAAAGAGAGAGAGAGAGAGAGAGATATATATATATATCTCGGTAGAATATTTCAAACATAAATAGTAATGTGCACGCACATTACTAATTTCGCGACGATATGACGAATATATAAGCACAGAACGAAATGCAAATTGATACCGAGTGGTTTCCCAGTATTGTTCTCCCCGCGCGAATGTCGAGTACAAAAGCGGAGAATTAAAGTTATCTACATTAAAAATGTAATAAAATGTCATCAATTCGCCGTTCGTTTTCCATCGAATGTTTCTCGCTGAATTCAATTCACGCGCAGCGACGAAAATATCGAAACGAATACGGAGATAAGTAAATATTAAGCCCGTATGTTTGAAAAAACCTCTTTGCAAAAGGTTCATCGCGCGC